GGGCCTGAAATTTTGCATCAAATCCCTGCAATGACAAGCATGAAACGACGCACCTGAATCCATGATCCAGGACTCAATTGAATTCTCAATGCTGCAAATTAGAACATCTTCATAATCCTCTGCCACGTTCACCTCCTTCTTGCCTTTGTCTGCAGAGGCTTTGGGACATTGATTTCTGAAGTGTCCATTCTCCTTGCAATTCCAACAATTGATGTCCTTCCTGTTCTTGGATTGACCTCTCTTTCTCGACTTTGATCTTCCTTTCTTGTTACCTCCTTTAGTGGATTTTCTGGCCCTATCTTCAGTACTCAACAAACTGTTGGAGCTATCCCCCGAACTCCTCCTCCGGATATCCTCACCAAGGATCAAGTCACGAATACCCTCAAAGGTAAGTTTAGTGGTTCCAGCCGAACTACTAACTGCTGTGACTGTACCGGACCAACTATCGGGCAAAGATGATAACAAAAGTAATGCTTGAACTTCATCATCAAATTTAATCTCAACCGAACCTAACCTGGATATGATTGAATTAAATTCGTTGACGTGATCTGTTACGGCTGCACCTTCCTTCATTCTCGTGTTCACCAACTGTCTGATTAAGAAAACCTTGTTGGCCGTTGAGGGTTTCTCGTACATGTTGGATAACGCCTTGAGTAGTCCAAACGTTATTTTCTCGTTGATGATGTTGTAAGCAACGTTTTTCGCCAACGACAACCTCACCACACCAAGAGCCTGTCGATCCAGCAAGTTCCACTCCGCCTCCGCCATTGATTCTGGTTTGTTCTCAAACAAGGGTAGATGAAGCTTCTTCTGGTAGAGATAATCCTCGATTTGCATCTTCCAGAAAGCAAAATCTTGACCATCAAATTTATCGATCTTAACCTTCCCTTCGTCAGCCATAGCTCTGATACCACTTGTTGCGATTTAGGTTAAGTAAACGATAAATTAAAGAGCAAGAACACAAGAATTTACGTGGTTCACACAATCGGGGTGATTGTGCTAGTCCACGGCGAACGAGAGAGAGTTGTGTATTATTATGTCGGCGTCAAGAGGTATTACACGTACAAAGATGTGTTTAAATAGGTTTAAGAAAACCTAAACAAGGATTAGAGCCGCAGGCCCAAAATTAAGCCCGTAATTAAAAAATTACTCCGCAGACCCGGTCGGGTCTCCTCTTGTACCCGGTCGGGTGTCTCCTCAAAAGGCATACCCAGGTCAAAACCAGGGCGGGTATCCTAAACAGAGTCCAAAACCTTTCACGAACCCGGTCGGGTAAACCTCCTTACCCGGTCGGGTTTCCAAACCAGTGAGTTGCCCGACCAAGTTCACATCATACCCGGTCGGGTAAACCTCCTTACCCGATCGGGTTTCCAATCCAGAGAGTTGCCCGGCCAATTTCAACATCATACCCGGTCGGGTAACCCAATGTACCCGGTCGGGTAACTGTTCTAACATTCAGAACAAGGCTCCATCCTCAACAGGTTCCACCCCTAGATTTGATACTCAATAGTAGTATGTGAGGACGTGAGGTTACTTCACTTGTTTGTTTGACACAACAAAAATGTTAACTAGAACCTTAACGTTAAAAACAATGATTGTTGGATATAGCAAATGTTAGTATAATTAATCATTTTGTAGGTGATATGTTTAAAATGACATAAACAACATTTATGATGTCGAACGCAATATATATGTCATATTTATATATAAAAAACTATATTCGTTACATGTATAGATGTATTAGTGGATGTTGGGAAAATTCAATTCAATTTGAATTAAATAATCATTTTTGGGTGGAATTTTGAGTGTGGTCCACTTTCAATTTAGGTCAAGTTAAAATGGACTTGGGTTCCTCGTGGTAAGAACTTCAATTTGATATGTGGTACACTCAAAACGGATAACAGGTGACTGATAAATTGATTCTCGAAATTAACTCATTGAAATGAAGAAACTGATAAAATAGATGAGTTTCTAATGGGAATTGTTCTACACCAAAAAAATCCAAGGGATTTGCACCGCCTTATAAATGAGACCTTTCAAGGAGTTAAGATTGCAGTGTGGAAATGTTGTTTCTATCTTACACACTGAACTACACAACAAAAAACTCTCCTGGTAGTGAATTAGGCTCGTTCTTTGTTCAGTTCATTTGATTTTTTTTTGTTTTCAGAAAAACAAACCGGTGTTTTCCTACAATGGAAACACAAACTCGCAACGCTTAGACAAACTTTAGTTTAATGTCATACTCACTTTATCAAACAAGATTAATACGAGTAATTTATTAGGAGATAAGTTAAGTTAGGTGGTACTTTAATATAACGTATTTCTTTAATTTAATGTGTCGAAGTACTTTCACAAAAAGTGGGATTTTTGGATTTTACTTTGAATATTACCAAATTTTAGCCAATTTCTAAAAACGTGACCATTTTTGTATAAGGACAAAAATGTGATTAAGAAGGTCATATTTTGGGAAAATGTGATGTCACTGTCAATTTTCATGTCACTTAACCGATGCCACTACCAGTTTCTCATGTAACTTAAGTGGTGCTAGATTCTCATGTCATTTACAAATGTACCTATTGTAATAACACATGTCACTATGCCGGTCTAAAAAAAATCCGGCAATCTTTCGTTGAAAATTTGTACAACGAAACCGCCGTCCACCACAAGACACCACCTCTGTGAGTGAAACAGCTTGCAGCCCTCTACCCCAACCTTAGCCCCCCTACTCCCCTTCACATTCCACAACTCCTCACCACAACCCTTCCCCGCCCCAGCGCCGCCTGACCCCCCACCACACCCTAACCTGCCCCAGTGCCTACCAGGGCACTCCCCAACGACATCCTTGCCTTAACAAGCGTACTGCTTCACTACCCAGCTCCTAGAAGCTCCACGACTCGCCCTAGCCCAATAGCCACCAATCTACCCTCCCATGCCCTCAAATCACCGTCACAAATATGAAATTTCCGTCAATCAGCATCGTGGGAATGAGAGGGATGAATCCGAGGACCAGCGATGGAGAAGAGAATCGGCGAAGAAGATGAAGTCAGTCAGTTTCGCTAGCCGTCACCGCCTCTTCTCAGTGACGTCGCAGTGGTGGTCTCTGTCGCCTTCGCTAGTTGTAGGTCGATGTCGATGTCTAGATGGAGAGAAGAGTCGACGAAGAGCTGGTGGTAGAAGATGAAGGACAAAGCAAGTTTGGTAGATGGCCTTGAGGGGAGAAGAGTTTCGACGAAGCTGGAGTGTCGTAAGTGATTTAATTAGAATATTAACTCACATTTTTGTCCAAGTAGAATATTGTGATATTTTTGTCCATCCAAACCCTATAACTAATATTTTTGTCATTCTTTCAGTTTATAATTGTGCACACACTCTAATTGAGCATCTATATATTTTCTATTCATATTTAATTTTCTAAGAATAAAAAATTAAAACAGAAGTCAATTATACTTAAGAGGAAGAATTGAAAATAAATTATATTGCTCTACGGATCGTGTAAATATTCTTTTATAGCATGTCAGGTTTTAAGGAGGTGATACGGTTATTAAGAAAAGTGGATATATGTACGACTGAGCAAAACCGACCCTACCCGAAGAACCTGACCGGGTGAACCCGATTTTTTGTTATTGGGTCGGTTGACTCGACCCGAACCCACGAACCGACCCGCCAACCCGTTTCTTTTTGGACCGACACCCAGCGGGTAGGGTCCTCCTAATCCCTACCCGAACCGCCCGAAAACCCGACCTAGCCTAAGCCGACTTCCCCGGTTCCCCCAAGGCCCCAACTCCCCAAGCGCATTAGGCCATTACCCATAACCCATAACTCAAAATAACCCCACTCCCTTTCCCTTATCCCTATTTCCCTTCGCCGGTTAACCCTAACTTACACAGTTACACTTAACCCTTTGTGGTAAGGGTAGGTGTAGGGGGTCAAGTGTGTGGAATTGGGTGTAGGGTGTAGGGTGGGGGTATGAGGTATAGGGGCAGGGTAGGGGTTAGGAGTATGGGTACACGCACGAGGTGATTGACCCCACATATTATATTATATATTTGTGTTCATGTATGTTTGTATGTCTATATATGTATAGGGTTATTTTGGACATTTTAATGTTAAACGGTGTTTTAAACCTTTTGAAGTAAACATGATCTTATAACATTGCTTATTTTATGCGTCGCTTATTAACGCGAGTCTTAATAAGCATCATTTAGTAACCTGTGAACTAAACGTGTCAGTCTTCTGGATGATCACAGAACTAGGTGAAAAAATTGATGAACATGTTTTCAAATTTGAAAATGGAAAACTAGAAAATAGAAACATAAAACTGGAGATTGAAAAACTGAAAAATAAAAACAGAAAATTGGAGAACGAAAAACTGAAGTAGAAAATAGAAAAATATCGGCAGTACGCCTCCCTTACCAATAGCGCTATTCGGCAAAAAAACCCAAACAATGAAACGACCAAACCCCTGATCTTCCTGACCTCGTCAATCGCTAGTCCGTTCTAGGCTTGCCCTTCGCCGACTTCGTCAAATTAGTAGGTCGCACACTCGCACTGTCGCAGCGCTCCAATTTTGCTCTTCGCCGGCTACTTGGCCGCCTCGCCGCCGTATCCCGTAAGTTTGTTTTCTGTTCTTTTTAAGTTTGCTATTTGCTACTCTGCTTTTGTTTAGTTTTGTGATAAACTCTTTGTGAAATACGTATATTAAAAGGTAAATTCCATCCAATACAATTAATATTAGTATCAACATATAAGAAGTTCTTCCCTGTATGTAATAAAGTACTAGTACTTCGTAATACATATATGTAAAAATATCGATATATTTATTCTATAAATTTACACAATTCATATATGATATACTCAAAGTAAACACATGTGTTCATTTAAAATTCTTTTAGTAACCGAAAAATACTTAGTTTGGGTCTATTGTTTTTTTGGCCCACCAAATATTACCTTATACCCATAATTTTGTTCAGTACATTTTAACACACTACGTGGTCCAATAAACAACCCAACATATAAACCAACCCAACAGGCAGAGATTTTATACCCGCTTCCATTGCTAATTAAATAAACAGATCATCTGCTATTGAACACGCTCGTCGATCTACAACAGAAAGACGCAAAGTATCGAAGGTCTTTCATCCGTTCAGCAGCGAAATCTCCCAGATACGTAGGTTTTCATATGAATTCATTCGTCAAGTGCATGTTTATGTTTCATACCAATCTATCCTAAAACCCAAAGGTCTGGTACTGATTTCATTTTCCATTCTTCTTTGATGATATAGAGTAACGAAATCTCCAGATCGGTAGGTTTTCCTATGAATTAAAACAACTGCACAATAATATGTACTACGTATAATATTAGTAGTATTACTTCAAGATATTTGTTACGGAGTATTTTGCTAGCACTTAACCTAGCGAGAAAAGTGAACAGTTCAGTTCAATTTGTGGAGAGCATGAGCTGATACCATATAAGGACTTACGGGATACTTGTGCCTAGTATACTTGATTGAAAATAAAACTAATAAGAATGATGTTATTAACTTAATCTGATGATGAAGTTGTTTGGATGGCGATCCAGATAAATATGACTCAATCCATAGCAATATTGTTAATGGCGTTTTATGTTGTTGAATGATCTACTGTAGACTTGCTTGTTTTTTGTTTCATTGTGGGGGTATATGTAGTTTAGCACTATAACTGGTTCTCTTTATTTTTTAAAAAATATGAATCATTGGGCTGCATTGTTGGAAAGGTTAGATATGTGAACATCAGAACATGATATAAGAAAACTCATTAGTTCATTGCTGGAGCTTTTTATTGCCTTTTTGAAATGTCTCAAAAACAGATATTAGGAAACGTATTGTGGCTGTTGGCTAAATGCAATACCTAATATCTTGTTTTTCCTTTAAACTAGAATCTCACCCGTGCGATGCACGGAACAAAATATAGTCAAGGATAATATAAAAAAGTAAGAATAATATCAAAGATTGATAAATTATAGTAGTAATAATTATAATAAGAATACAATAATAAAAATAAAAATAGTGATAATAATAATAGTAATAATAAAAAATACAATGAATGTTAAGCTTGTTGGGTTGTAGGCTTCGGCCCATTCAGATCTGGGAGCCAAATAAACAAAGAGCAACAGCCTGCTCTAGTTAAATGTGCAGGCAGTCCTAGTTGGGCCTGTTTCTTTGGAGGCAGTCAGGCCCAGAACCTTATTAAGTGTTTTACCCTAATTGTTTGCCTATATATATTGACTCTTGTACTTGTAAACTATGACTTGTATCATTCATCATCTCAATAAGAAAGAAAACCCTAGTTGCCCCTGTGGATTAGATCAGTAACACTTACTGGCTGAACCACGTTATATTCGTGTCCCGTTCTTCTCGTTCTTTTCTAGTTTTTCAGATTCGTGTGTGTGTGAGATCTAACCCTAACAAAGCTGAAATTTTATAAAGATAATATATATTTCATGGAGCATACTCACAAAAATTCATTATGAAAATCCTTTAAATGGGACTCTTGGTTAGTCCGGACTAATCAAATCAGTTCCTTATAATTTATATCATCATCATCATCAATAGAGGAAGTTTATTGTTTAACGGAAAGAGAAAAAGCAGTTCCCAGGTCGTTACACAGTGCCGACTCCCAATCCCAACTAACTGGATAGTTCCAACCTGTAACTAATCATAAGGACATCTATTTATAATATCCCAACCGACTCCCAATTACATTAGATCCCTTATTTAATATTTCCTTTCCCTTTTCTAGTGTAGACTTTATCATAAAAAGTAATGCCATCCTTCACATTAGACGGCTGATTTCCCAGATCCTTATCACCCACCCAAAAATACCTACGTATAAATACTCCTAATTTGCCCCAATCCCCACTCTGCGACCAGAGCCATAGGTGACACCGGTGCTCTCCGCCTCCCATCTTCCACCATACCATCATTCTAAGAGGTTAATCTTTTCCAGCTTGAGCGCCTGTAATCCTCCGGTTGTCACAATAGAGAATCCTCTGTCTACCGTTAAATTTATTTATTTATTGCAAAATCTTCTGCGGTTTTATAATTTGGAATTCGGATTCTTAATTGTTACATACTTGGTAGTTGGTATATATTCAAAATCAAGTAGTGTTTTTATCCATTTTCTGAATATAATCACATCTTATGAAATAGTTTTCACCAATCTGTTATCTCTAAGCGCTTCTCAATCACTCATGTATATCCTCATTCATGAGTTGGACTTTTAAGCCAATTTCAGGAGCTTATCAGCTCTTTCGATTAACAATAAATGGTTTAGTTTATGCAGTAAAAGCTATACTTTTGCAATTTACTCTGTATTTACCTAGCAGCTAGTTTAGTAAATACTCCGTAGTAAGCTAGTTTACATATTACCTGGAAGCCACTATCCATTTATTGAAGCTTGAATTTTGAAACAAAAGGCCAATAACAGTCGTAGAATTCAAAACCAACTATTTTCCTTTGAAATTGTCCTCTTTGCAACTATTTTCAGTAGAAGATATCCTTTTTATAATATCTTTATCAGGTGATTCTCCTTGGTTGGATTTTCTTTCATATTTAGCCTATTATTATATGTTTCAAGGTATTTTCAGGATCTCATTAGCTATTGCTATTACACTATGGTTTAAATAATTTCAGTTTAATATAGGTTGTTATTATTGGGAAGCTATAAAATAGCTATTTATGTTTCTCATTACCTTTTTATTTAGAAGCTATATCAGTTTCTTCATTATCTTTCCATCATTTGCAATGGAGACAAAGATTCATTATTTTTTTGGCTTGAGATTATGATGGAATAAAGCAAAATGGCTCACTAAACTGTTTGCGCTTCTTTGTCATTAAGCAGCAGTCAGTCCATGCAATTTTGGACGGGATTTTTACTATGGGTCATCCGGAAACAATCTCTCTGTGCTTAAGTACAGGGGTAAGACTGCGTACATCCGACCCCCCCTTACCCCACCGTAGGTGGGAGCCTTTGCGGCACTGGGGTAAATGAAAATGACCAGTTTCTTCATTAGTTATTTTTATAATCTAAACACCGACATAAATAGCTTTATATGTTTTTCATTACCTTTTTATTTAGAAGCTATATCAGTTTCTCATTAGTTATTCTTATAATATAAACTCCAATATTGTTTAGTTCCTAACCAAGCTTAGGACAGAAGCTGTTTTTAATTGTTTTCTCGACCAATTTTTCGTTTGATGTGCACACTTAAAAATAACTATGCATTACTTTATAATATATGTGGATTTGATTTTTCCTGACTTGTTCAAATGCTTGCTTCTAATAGTGATGATTTTATAAAAAACAAAAGAAACGTGTCAAGATATGTGCTTCTGTGGTATGTATCAGTCAACAATGAATGACAAAGTTGGTCAATGAGCTTTGGTAAGTAGTTGGTCAATATAATGCCTTTAATCAAAGCTTTGGCAAGTATAAAGCCATTTTCAAATATGCTTTCTTTTATAGCTTTACTGTAAGCTATGAACTCTCTGCTTCTTTAATTAATTATAATACCTATAATTATCTTTGTATAATCTAAAATGCTTTTTAAGGCATGCTTATAATCCTTGGTTATATGCCAGAGAACATAACCAAGGTCCAAGGTCTAAATATATAAGGCCAAATATCATTTGTGCTCCAATAGTTCATGTGAGATTTACCTTTTGTTGCTTAGTACTATAACTGGTTCTCTTCATTTTAAAAAATATGAATCATTGGGTTGCATTGTTGGGAAGGTTAGATATGTGAACATCAGAACATGATATATGAAAACTCATTAGTTCATTGGTGGAGCTTGTTATGGCCTTTTTGAAATGCCTCAAAAACAGATTAGGAAATGTATTGTGGCTGTTGGCTACAATGCAATACCTAATATCTTGCTTTTCTTTTAAATGGTTGGGTACTGAATATTTCAAGTTCTCCATATTTGCAATAGATAACTCCAAACATAATAACAATGTCTGTCTATCGAAATATTGAAGTACAAATCAAAAAACAAAAAGTATTGCTCATAGTTTTGACCGTTTAATAGCCAACACTATTATGTTGAAATAGGCTGGCTGAAGAGGGTATCTTTTGAACAAACTACAGTACCTACCTTAACTGAAGATATTACTGCGATCTTCTCTAATCATTTTTTCTATTAGCCTATTGTGGTACATGCTGCGTAGTCCCTTAAAGAGTGTTCTTAGTTTTGACAGCAGGACAAATCATTCAGTGCTGACAACAATGGCTTCATCCTTCCTCCCTGCAACAACAGACTCACTTGTTCTGGCTTCAGAGGCAAAAACTCCATCCGAGTCTCTCTCTATCCTTCACAATATCCTTAACAACCCTTCATCCTCTTCTGACGCTCTAAGGATAAAGGAACAAGCAATAGCTAATCTATCTGACCTCCTTAGACAGGAAAACAGGGCTGATGATCTCAAAAACCTTCTTACCCAATTACGGCCCTTCTTTTCCTTGATACCCAAGGCAAAAACTGCTAAAATTGTCAGAAGTATTGTTGATACATTGGCAAAAATACCCGGCACTTCTGACCTTCAGATCACCCTTTGCAAAGACATAGTCCAGTGGACCCGTGATGAGAAACGGACTTTTCTTCGCCAAAGAATTGAAGCCAAACTTGCTTCACTCTTGATGGAAAGCAAAGAGTATGCTGAGGCGTTGACTCTCCTTTCAGGTCTCATCAAAGAGGTGAGGAGATTGGATGACAAGCTTTTGCTTGTGGAGATTGACTTGCTAGAGAGCAAACTTCATTTCGCATTGAGAAACCTCGCAAAAGCAAAGGCTGCGCTTACCGCTGCTCGGACTGCAGCCAACGCTATATACGTGCCTCCAGGTCAGCAGGGTTGCATCGATCTGCAGAGTGGGATTCTCCACGCTGAGGAAAAAGATTATAAAACGGCATACAGCTATTTCTACGAAGCATTCGAGGCTTTTAATGCTCTGGAGGACCCACAGGCAATATTCAGCCTAAAGTACATGTTGCTATGCAAGATTATGGTGGGCCAGGCGGATGACGTCGCAAGCATAATATCATCACCTAAGGTTGGGTTGCAGTATCAGGGACCGGAACTAGATGCCATGAAAGCAGTTGCTGATGCCCACTCAAAGCGGTCTTTGAAGCTTTTCGAGGTTGCTCTTAGGAATTTCAAGTCACAGCTGGATGAGGACCCAATAGTCCACCGTCACCTGTCCTCACTTTATGACACTCTCCTGGAGCAAAACCTTTGCAGGTTGATTGAGCCGTTCTCCAAGGTTGAGATAGGGCATGTTGCCGAGCTTATTGAGTTGCCTGGGGAACACGTTGAGAAGAAGCTGTCTCAGATGATTTTGGATAAGAAGTTTGCCGGAACCCTTGACCAGGGTGCTGGATGCCTCGTCATCTTTGACGACCCCAAGACAGATGCGATTTATCAGGCTACGCTGGACACAGTCTCAAACATGGGAAAGGTTGTTGACAGTCTTTTCCTAAGATCTGCTAAGATAATGGCTTGATTTGCAGCATCTCAGGATTTCCTTCTGTGTTTCGTTTTGTGGTCTTATACATCGACTTCTTAGGGATCGGAAAATTACTGTATTTGACTGTATGGGTTCATTCTGTTTGGTATCAAAATTTGGGTTCTTACTGTATTATTTACTTAATATATATTTATTATCTACGAAATATCTACTTATTATATACTACCTCCGTCCCAAATTGATTTGCAAATTTAATATTTCTTGGTCAAACAGTTTCATTTTATTGGTTTAATTAGGATGTCAATTTTTATTTATATTCTAATTTGAGATTTGCAACTTTGAACAGTTTGAAGAGATTTCAAATATGTAAATTTTAATTATTAAAAATTAAATTAATTATCGATACGGAGCATTGACTTTTATTATTCGTTGACTAAAAAATGTTGACTTTGCAAAACAATTTGGGACGGAGGAAGTATTTGTTATCTACTTATATTTACTTATATTACATCTAATTAATATATAAGTATACATATTGAAGTATTAAATATAAGTGTACTACTAATCTTATAGTAGTATACTTATATATTATATACTATAAACATTATATTATATATTAGTTATACAATTATTATATCTAGTTATATACTTATTATCTACTTATAAATACATATGTCGTATCGACTTATATTTATTATCTACTTAATATATATTTATTATCTACTTATAAATACATATGTTATATCGACTTATATTTATTATCTATTTAATATATATTTATTATCTACTTAATATCTACTTATTATATACTTGTCATCTACTTAAATTTAAATATATTACATCAAATTAATATATTAAGTATACATATTAAAGTATTAAATATAAGTGTATTGCTCATCTTATAGTAGTATACTTATATATTATATACTAGTAACATTATATTATATATTAGTTACACTTTCATTAATATGAGTTAAATTTATCCTATTACTTACACACTCACACTCTCATTAATTAGTATACGTTCATACATTTTTCCTATTAGTTACATTTTTCATTAATATTAGTTAATTAGTTAATTGTTACATTTCTCATTTGGTCACCATTAATATTTGTTACATTCTCATTTGTTAGATACTAATTTTAATTGCATTTTTAGTTGATTTTACTATACTTGTCATATTATCATATTAGTTAACCATATTTCTTACATACCAATATTAATCACTTAAAATTGTTAGATTAAAATATATAAGTAGTTGCATTTTTAATTTTACTACACTTGTTAGATTAAACTATTAAATTAGTTGAAATATTAGTTAATTTTACTACATTTGTTAGATTAAAATATAAAAGTAGTTCGAATTTTAGATAATTAAACTATTAAACTAGTTGGAATTTTAGTTAATTTTACTACACTTGTTAGATTAAAATATGTGGTAAACGCAAGTTTCTACCTTCCCAAAGGATCTATTCACCCCTATTCAATTCAACTCAGTTCGCTTATCATTATATTGAATCGAACCGAACCGTTTTAATTGTCATGGTATGAGTACAAATTTAGCAAAATATTGAATCATCCTAGATTGTGTTCACCCCTATTCAACTCAACTCGGTTCGCTTTATAGAAAAAAAATCATGGAGATTAGTATTATGATGAGCTGCTAGTAGGCTATTTTTTCAAGGCTTTTGGCAACTCTTTTGTTTGTAAAATTTTTGTAACAAAACTACTAACAACAGAAAGAGAAAAGTCTGAAATAGAGAGAATAAAGATGTAAAATATGGGATGGCATATACCGCGTAGATAGAATTAGCATCTACTTTAAAGTAATGAGAGAATTCCCTAAATATGACTAAAAAAAGCTGAAATTGCAAAAATAGGACATATTGTTTTAAAATCCCTAAATAGTAATAAAGATTACACTTTTACCCCTGCCAGGGGTGGATTCGGGTCACGCCGGGTCCGGGTCAGGCCTAGGCCCGGGCGGGCCGGCGATTCAGGATTGGTGGACCCGGGACCGGCCCGGGTAGCCACCGGGTCCGGTCCGGGCCGGGCTTCCGGTTTGGGTATTTTTTTTTGGTTTCCTAACCCCCACCCTTCCAAACCCCCCAAACCCCTCCTAACCATCAAGCCCAACCCGGGTGGAACCCCAAAAAATGAAAAAAAAAATCAATTTTGCTCGGACCCAGGCCCGACCCGGAAGGGCCGGTTCGCCAAATGTGAGACCCGAGCCCGGACCCGCCCTACCCCCCGGGCCTAAGCCCAACCCGGACCCCGACCTGAGAACCGGGCCGGTCCCGGTCCCGCACAGTAGCGGGCCGGGTGGCCCGACACGAGTCCACCACTAACCCCTACCCATTAATCTAACCCAATTGTGTGCCACTCTCCTCTACGCTCTGCAATCGATCGCCGCCACTCTCCCAGGTATCCATCGACGGCGATACCTTCCTTTACCATGCTGAAGCTCCGCCATCTACCGCCACCGCCGCAGCTCCGCCATCGACGACACCACTGCTGCAATTTCTCAGCCAAGTCAGGTATGTATTCTTCCCCTTCTTCTCCTCCTCCTCCTCCTCCTCCTCCACCCCCTCCCCCCTCCCCCTCCCCCTCTCCCTCCTCCTCCTCTTCAAATTTCTGGTACTCTGTTATCTTGTTCTTTAATTTGGATTTCAATTTTATTTGTAAAGCAAAAATATGAGAATATCATAAAATTATCAGAAATTCGAAGAATGTCAATTTTATGGCATTACATCTGTCAAGATGACAATTTTACTTTGAAATTTTAAAACTTTAGAAAAATGCCATAATTGATGTTTAATCTAACATTGATTTGTAATAATGTCACTTTTATGACATTATATTTCTCAAGGTGACAGTTCAAAGAAGAAAATAACATCTCTAAAGAGTAATAATGTCATTTACATGACATTTTTTAAACAAAAATGACATATTTAAAGTGACATTTTTAGTAACAATGTCAGTTTCGTGATATATTGTCATCTTGATAAATGTAATGTCATAAAACTGACATTTTCTAATTGCTTTTAATTTATGGCATTTTGAGGTTCCAAACTAACCAAAATTAATAAATAAATAAAAATTTGAAATCTAAAGAAGAAGAGAACAAAGGACTCAACATCGAAGAGGATGGGAAGGAGAAGACCAAAAAAGGAAAGAGGAGGAAGAAGAAGAAGAAGGAGGGGGGAGAAGAAGAAGGAGGAGGAGGAGGGTAGGAGAAGAAGAAGAGTACCTGGATGAATAGATGATTGTGATCGATTGTGGATAAGTTGAAATCGAAGGTGCACAAGCTATGGCCGGCCAATGGGAACGTTGCAAGGGAGAGGAAGAAGGTTGCGATCTGGAGTTCTGCTACATCTGGAGTCGGCTTCGATCTTCAGGGATTTAATTAGAAGGGTAAAATTGTAATCTTTAGTCTTATTTAGGGAATAAAAAACTTAATGTAGGAATTTAGTCAATATTTTAGTCCCATTTTGGGCAATTCCTTTAAAGTAATAGTTTTATTTTCATTTTCATAATAATACATAATATATGATAAATTTGAGGATACAGGATAAAAATGTGTCTAGTCTCTTTTAATTATTATAAGGGAAAATCACAGTTTTGGTCCCCTTGTTAGCCATCATATTGAAATCTCAAACCCGTGTTTCTACTTTTTTAAATGTCACCCTTAATTTGTCAGAATTGTTTTAAATGTGACCCATGCGGTTAAAAATATTACAAACTCCGTATGACTTTCCATTTTTTCAAGGGTAAACATGTAACCTCGCATCCTTGAACCTTAAAATTCTTAAATCGAATATAAACCCAACTTTCTATGTATAATTCAAGTGAGGTACACGCCATTTGCTTGGGAAGCTCTCTTCCCTTCGTCCGTTCTTCAGCCGTTTGGAGTTTTGAAGAGGTGTCACCATTTAGGGTTCTTCTTCTTCAGGTGCTTACACATTTTTTGTTTTTCCCTTCATCGTTCTTCTTTTGTTTATTCAAAAAAGTGAACCGGGTGTCTAGGGTTGATTGGTCATCTTTCCTCTGTCACAGCTTCGACCTTGAAACGGAAATCTTGGCTTCAATATAGATCCAGTATTCGAACGCCATGTCCAACGGAAAGTTGGAGGAAAAGAGTTCAGAGCGTGCAAAGGATTAAGCAAAGTATTTGAATTTCGACTGATAAACGTGATGAAGGGTTGACAATAACTCGATTTACGGCTTTAAATGTATAAGGATGCGAAGTTATATGTTTACCGTACCCCTGAAAAAATAGAAAGCCAAACGGAGTTTGTAAGATTTTTAACGGTGGGGGTGACATTGAAAGAATTTCTGACAAATCGGGGGGTGACATTTAGAAAAGCAGAAACACGGGTCTGAGGTTTCAATATGGTGGCTAACCAAGGGACCAAAAATGCGATTTTCCCTTATTATAATTATGTAATATATGTTCAATTTTTATAGTTCTTACAATTTAATTTCTTTCAAAACCAAGAGAACTCCATATGCAAGCAAGACTAAGAATCGTTTAATACCTTAAAGGGTCGCCAAGCCTTGGCTTGTTTTATACCTCCAACAGTCCACTCAAAACTCACGCCTTATGAGATTATAATAGGGCCAGTTGTGTTACTAGTTATTGTGTCTTTCCATGACACCCTTCAGTTTCTTGTAAGTCAATAAAATAAACTACAATATGTAGATGTTCCTCTAAGGTAGAATATAGAGTTTTGGTTTCCCTCACATGTGAACTACAATGGAAAATTTTTCTGTGACCATCTATTTACTCTTATATCAACTCCTTTCAATATATTTTCGGATAGCTCATCTGCTATTGCTATAGCTAAAAATCCAACTTTCCATGAAAGAACTAAACATATTGAAAGTGGTTGTCATCTCATTTGACTCAAACTTCAACAAGGTATGTTGCATCTTCTCCATGTTTCATAAGCAAATCAACTTGCAGACGCCTTTACAAAGTTTTTATATTCTGGATCATTTCAGATAACTATACCCTAGCTCAGTCTCTCTCACATACATGGCCAAATTATATTTCCTATCAATTGATTAGTATGATAACATATTAGTTAGGTAGTTGGACCCCAGTTAGATTGGCTTCATATATATACTATAGTTTTTCATAATGTGAATTCTTACTTTCATTGAGTTCTATCTTCTGCAATTACTAATAGATAAAAAGGATGTAGTGAAGTACTGTGACCATATCTAC